GCCCTAGACTCATGTAACCCCCTTTGGACTCTCTGTACCCTAAACCCTGAACCCTATATCATCCTAAACCCAGCGACAGTCAATATTTCCACATAAATAATTTGACCTGCATGGGCTCCGTATTGGGGACTATATTAGGGACTACACCAAAGTATAAGAGGGACCCCTATGTCCATCATCACGGGTCCCTTAGTAAGGCTAATATTGACAGCAACTCATATAACCCCTAGACCCTAATCCCTAATCCCTAAACCCTGATCCCTAAACCCTAATCCCTAATCCCTAAACCCTAATCCCTAAGCCCTAGTCCCTAAACCCCAATCCCTAAACCCAAAACACCAAAACCCCAATAACCCCTTTGGATTCTGCTTAAATCCAAGGCTCTCCCAGACTTGCTGGCCTGAGACCTCGTGAGGCAGAAGCTCATTGGCCGGCTGCGCTTCAGTGCGAGGCTGCCAACCGCTCTCCACCACTCTGCCTCGGCTTGGGATTTAGGGTTTAGGGCTTAGGGGTTTAGGGGTTTAGGGTTTAGGGATGTTTAGGGTTTAGGGGTTTAGGGTTTAGGGTTCGGGGTTAATTTGAAGGGCCTTAAACAACCTGAGTAACGTAGGGCCTCGAACAATTTTGATCGGATTTTCAGGTATGTTATGGAAAAGTGATACAAGGTAATGTAGCACTGGGGATCCAAGTCTATAAAGCATACCTACATTGGGCACTAAAGTCTACAAATATTACCTACACTGGGCTGCTTGGATTTGTAGGGTAGGGCCTTAAACAACTTTGAAAGGATTTTGGGGTATGCTATGGTATAGTGATATAAGGATTGACAGGAATCATATCATATATCGGTGAGAATTCAGGCTTCTACACTAATTACTGGGATTTAGTCAAGCTTTAGGGTTTGAGGAATACAGTATCTAGGATTAAGCTTTGAGGGCCTAGTCTGGACTTCAAGGCATCCTAAAAATAGCACCTATTACAACCAGAAGGGAATCAAGTACCATCGCGAATTGCCATTTGGAAGTGTGGCATTCTGCAGTTGGGTGATTGCAGGGATTGGGAAATAGTTGGCTCAAAGCTTGGTGTAGGCACTGCAGTGATTGGGGTCATGTTTTTGGCATGAGGATGTAGAAGGTTGGGTGTGCGGATGAAGTGCGTCTGGACCGGCAAATCATGGCTTTGTAGGTACGATGCGGTGATATTTGTGTTCGCTGAGCACGCGCAAAGCCTGGTATCCCAGTTCAACATGACCGGTGAGCATGAGGTCATGGGCATCATCTGAAGCAACTGTAGGACCAGAATTGCCTGAATACAAAGGCGACGCAAGCTTATGCGCTTCCCAGAATATTAACAAGCCCGTACTCCGAGCATCTTTGTCAAGCTATGTGGGCCCCTGTGAAATAGACTTTGGAGACTTAATTCGAAGAGTGGGGACAATGACGCCAGTAACGCACAGCTTGAATGTTTGGGAGCATTTTCCCTTCTGATCCTGATATAAACATAAAATATACCCAGAAACGCTTCTGGAAATTTTAACTGAGAACCAAGTTGCTGGCAGCTGGTTTTAACTTTGCATCTGCTCGGAGTCTGCTTCTTTCCTCGGTGAGCACTGCGAATTACTTATTCTGTTGCCATTATGCTTGATACTAATCTGACTACGACGACTACTACTGCTCATGATAATGATGTGACGTTTCATTTGTACTATGACTGCCGTCAAGATTCTGGTTCAGTGCTGTAGCTGCGACAGGAAAAGCAGCACTACCACAAATCACGACAAGAATAAACATGAGGCTCTGTGACAGTGACTATGAAGACTCGGTGTGTGGTACATGGCGTTCCCATGAGATCGTTCAAGCTCGGAGCGCCGGATGGAACCACTTCTTCTGCTGCTGCATAAAATGTCAGACCACCACTGCTTTTCTACCCACAAAGTGTCGAGGAGATGCCGCTCAGTGAGGGGGTGAGAGAGAGAGAGGGAGAGAGCGCGAGAGAGAGAGAGAGAAACAGAGAGAGAGAGAGAGACAGAGAGAGAGAAACAGAGAGAGAGAGAGAGAGAGAGAGAAAGAGAGAGAGAGAGAGAGACAGAAAGAAAGAGAGAGAGAGAGACAGAGAGAGGAAGAGAGAGAAAAAACAGATACTTGCGTTCGCTTCCTGATGCACATCTTTAGACCGAGTAAAGAGCCATTCCAAAGGTTGCTGCGAAATTGATGGGGCCCTAGCGCGAAGACGTGACACACTATTTAGGAAGTCATGTGCCTGTCTAGCCACCTACTAGTTACACAGCACGTGTGGGGCTGGACAACAAGTAACCCCAGGCCCCGACGATCAATTATCTCCGAATCCCCCCACCACAAGCCGAAATGATGGCCTCTCCCCTGCATAGCCCCTCTATGCCGCAGCCCTATATCGTTCCATCGGTCCCTCGTGCCACCCAAAAATGTCAGTTGGAGCTTCAGTACAGAACAACCTGGGTTGCTGTTAAGTTACTGTAACAAGGAAACCCCATTATTTACTATGTATAGGCTGCTTAACAGCAACCCAGCAGCTTTCACACGTCCAATCATTGTCGTGGTAGCGCCCAGTTTGTCACTTGAAAAAAAGAAAGATTAGTTCCCCCGCAGTGAAAATGTTTCACCTAATGCATACTGGCACTATATGAACCCTAGTCTAAATGCCGAGTATCCCGTTTAATAACCCCTATAGTAGTCCCCATACAATTCCCTATATGAAACCCCCGTAAGGAGTTTAGATCCTAAACCCTAAATCCTAAACCCTATATAACCCCCTATATAAACCACCCCTTTATGGTATTTCTTTTTTAGTCTTGGGCGTGTTCCCCTCACCGAGCTTCAGGAACTGCATCTCCTGGGTACGAAGCCGGTCTCCCTCGGCGAAGCAGCCACCTACGGTTTAGGGTTTAGGGTTTAGGGTTTAGGGATCTTAAACAACCTAATGCTACAAACCTACGATCCAAAGTACCTTAGTACTAAAATCCTAGGATCCTAAATAACCTAATGCTCAAAACATGGGATCCTAAGCACCCTAGTGCTAAAACCCTAGGATACTAAGTACCCTAGTTCTAAAACTCCAGGATCCGAAGTAAGATAGCATTCACAAGGCTAAGCTTTTTTTGAGTATAGCTTAGTCCTATGAAAAACTGCGGACACCAAAAGAGGAAAAGGGCTTACTCAACACGCCAGCCACACGGAAAATAAGGCTGCCCCGGCGAGGGCGGCGCTTTCCACAGCTCTGGGATATCCCTCCATGAGTGGGGGCAATGGCTGATGAATGTGTATGTAGAACTTTGCAAAGCATCTTCTGCAAGCATTGAGGAAACTGTACTTCTGCAACATCTGACAAGGGGACAGGCGAGCTGCAGAAATTTCTGAAGCCCAACCTGAAACATCTTCTAAGTCTGCTAGCCTAAATAGTAGTTTCCATTCTATTTTCCTTTATCCTACTAGAACCCTAATATGACCCTGGCTGAGCTCTCAGCTCCATAAGGTCAGGCTGATTCTACAAGGATGGGAATAGTTCCTGGACGTGCTTGGGTTTTCGTAAGCCGTCTCTTGATCACAGATGGCTCCAGGAATGCGCAGCATGTGCTAAGCAGATTGCAAACTACTCTTTGCCTAGATCAGTAGATGCTTTGCATTAGGTCCACTGCTCAAGTTGCCGCCATGCCATATCTCAAAGCACGTCAAGTCTGGAAGAAGCTTGTGCTTGCCTCATGATACAATGAGAAATCGTAACGTGCCGCAGCCATACACTGAACGCTGTGACACGTCTGCGCAAGCGCAAATGGAGTCAAAGCCGAGTTGTCGATCCGCCCATCAGGTACCCAAGAGCAGTACTCATAGCACGCCTATCAATGAAGACATCACCAAAGAAGAATCACGAAAGACCCATGACCTCTGATAGCTTCCACCTTTGTATCAGCAGCCCCGCAATCAAAACAAGGCGCAGCCATCAGCAAGGGCTGACAAAAGGGTAATTATTCTCACAAAACAAAGGGTCCTCTGTGGCGAAACTTTAAGAACTGGGATAATATTTCCCCCCCTTCCACTCATAATTCCCCCAAAACACAATCATGATAAGACTGGGTATATTCATTTTGTGTAGGTCGAAGGGTTCATTAATCACTTATGGACCCTGAGCGGTGCAGGGTTCCACCAGCAAAAGAACTATAGGGTTTAGGGTAAAAGGCCTTAAGGTTTCCAAGTTGTTCAAGTTAGACGTCCTGCATGACAGCCAGTACTTTCAAGTACCCTGGTGGTCTGTCAAGAGCAGGGAGCTGAGCTATAGGCGGCAACCAGCAGCATGGGAGGGTGTTAGTGCTAGTGTTAGGGTAAGATATCTACCTCAAGGGGGGTTCCTGAGACTGGGTTTAGGGTTTAGGAACCAAGCTCTACAAGAGAACCCTCCGAAAGCCGTATGGAAGTTTAGGTTGAACATGCTAACACACTTAAGCAAGCTCCCAGCTGAGCCAGGTTGTTATTGCAGCATCCCGAAACAAAGAAGCCCTTACACGCCAACAGGTGAGCCCTAGTCTCAACTCATTAATTATAGTACTCCCCTATATATATTCCCCTTAATCCCTTGATTATAAGAGTCCCGCACTTAATTCCCTATATATCCCCCATTGAATTAAGGAGTTTGAACGATGGTACATGTGAGGATGCCTAGCCTCAGGGATCCTTGGGATATCATGGGTCAGCTAGAAATCATAAGCGGATCAGTAGGGTTGTATGGGCGTTATATGGGGAATGGAGAATGAAATGGAAACGACTATAGTATAACGGGGTATATAATAGGGTGTATAGTGGGGTGGCATGGGGATAATGGCAAAGAACATGGAAACTACTATAACGGGTTATAAAGGGTTTATACTGAGTTGCTGTCAAGGCTATAGGCCCCTCCTTCAGAAGAACGAACCCGTAGATCCGACAGCTGCCACTGCGGCTGTTTTGTCCCCTAAAGGCACGCTGATGTCTTTGTCAGCGTCTGGCACGCTGCGCCTCTGAAAGCTGGCAAAAGGCTCTTGATAGCTTCATGGCAAAGACTGAACGTGCTGTTGTAAGTGGATAGTGAAAAATACGTACTGTAAAGCACAAGTTTTTATGATCCCACTTGTAACTTGCGACTAACCAGGCGCGGTACCAGTACAGCTTGTACATGAAGCTTGACTTCAGTAATACCAGGGGCTGTTTTGAAGCCTGTTCTTGACTGCCCCAGTCTGAGATCTATTCGGGCCCTCTTGTTGGCGGCCACCTGTGCAGCTCCTTGAATGCTGTTCTTGATAGTAAGCAGCATCCAAGTATTTCATTGGCTTCAAGAGGGTCGGGAACTTGAGAGTATCTTCGTGTAATCCCTGTAGAATCCCCCATAAGGACCCTAAAGCCCTAAACCCTAAACCCATAAGGACCCTAAACCCTATACACATTATCCCCTCATTATCCCTTAAGCTCGCCCCAGGTTTTGAGAAACTCCTACTCACTTGGGATCTAAGGCCGCGGAGATGCTCTGAAGCTGGGGTTGGTTACCCATTGGGGTAGTATCAGGGCTATATTGGGGTTATGTTCGGGTTATATGGGGATGATGGAAAATGATGTGGAAACTACTACATTATAATAGTGTATATATTGGTGGTATATTGGGGTTATATTGGGATATGGAACATAAAGTGGATACTACTATTTAGGGTTTAGGGTTTACTGTAGGGTTTCCAGCTGAAGTGGCAAGAGCTGAACCCTAAACCCTAAACCCTAAACTGCAGATCTAGGATTGTAGTTTGAGATGCCTGGTGCGACGTGACATGCCACAGAATAGACGAAGGACGAAGTCCAAAAAGGATAGGAGTCCTTGGGCAGTGACTGGTGGGCCCCCGCCCAAAAAACAAACGCAATACTTCACTAGATAGCAGGCGCCTTGCTTATCTTCGCACGAAATCCGAACCAGACTTCGGTCTCTAAACCCTGACCTGGGTTGCTGTTAAGGAAGTTGAATCAAGTTGCCATAATATGGTTGCATAGCAAATAATGGGGTTTCTTTATTACAGCAACTTAATTCAAGTTCCTTAACAGCAGCCCTGTCAATCTGTGAGCCCCAACAGACCTCCAAAGCAGTTCTGGTGGCGAGCTTGCCGATGCGGAAGTCCTTTTCTAGGCTCTTTCGTCTTTGTGATTGCCAGATGGCTGGGTTTAGGGTTTAGGGTTTGAGGTTTAGGCTTTGGGGTTTGGGGGTGACAGACTTCCTATGAAGACGTGCAACATTGGTGGCCGAAGCCAGAAAGGCTGCGATCAGAGTCATCAGACGGCACATCAGAAGTTCGGTGGTGATGACCGCAGGGGGCCCCCTTAATGCAGCCCCGCAGACCCAAATCCAACCCAGACCCACTATGTACACAGACGGGGTTTAGGTTTGGGTTTGAGAGGCTCCTTTAAGGGCAGGCCCTATCAACCCCATTACCAATAATCAAGTTCCCCTGGCCTTACAAGTCATATAACGAACTTGTTCAGCTCTGGAAAAAAGCATTCGGGGTTGAGGCTGATTTGAGGCTTTGGAATTCTACCAGTTAAGAAAAGGGTCCCGAAACAGAAGTATTCAAGAACAAATGCCCGATTACATCATGACGTACCTGTTGCGTAATAACACGAAACCCTTGACCTCAAAAGCCACTGGCTCCTCTGCGTATTCTTCCAAGGAGTCTGAAGACACGGAAGAACATTCTGTCTCCTAAGGCTAGACAAAGAGGCCCAGTCGTGAGCTTGGAGCTTGCAGTTTGAAGGTTCCATTGAAGGATCAGAAGGATTTAGCGTTTGGGATGCTCGTAGATGCCCATACCGAAAATCCTTTCAGCAGCAGTTGTGTGCCACTTTCAAAAGGGTTTCTCTATGGTTGAACTGACCCATCCAGGCGACTGCGATGGGGATCTGGGAGCTCTCCAGCTTTGGACCAACCATGTAGGATGAGGCCACATCGAGGAATTGCGAACCTTAAGCCCTAAACATCGAACTAAAAACCAGGTTGTAGACAAATCAAGCGAAAGGTCGTGCAACCTGTCCAAATTATGAGAACCATGGGAGACATGCTTGCTGCGGCGAAGTGATGCTGACGTCGTACTTTAATAACTCTAAGCCAACAAGTGGCCAAGGATCAGACTCTACTGTAATCCAACTGGCAGGCATCTTCCCCATCAGCATTGAAAAAGCCTTCCTGCAGATGCACTTAATGCTCTGCCTGCCAAACTGACAAAATTCTCTGCTACAGTTGCTTGCACAGTAACCCATCATTGACCTACAGAGGTTGCCTAAAACGATGGCCTTCGAGGCTTATCGGAGACTTCTCCTAAACGGACCTTGGAACACTCCCTTGTTCTTTCCAAAATATGCTACGACATAGATCAAGCATGAGCGGAAGCACCATTTATCAGGAACACAAAGACTCAACCGTGCTGGTGCATGTCAGGGGGGGGGGATTACAAAAAAACATAAATCCTACACCCTAAAGCCTAAATAACAGTTTCCACTATACTTTCTGTTATCCCTATATTATGTCAATCTTGTATAGTAGGTTCCATTTTCTTTTCCATTATCCCAGTAAAACAACAATATATACCCCAAAGGACCCATTATGGTAACTTAACTTAAGTTCTCAAAGAGCGAGCCCACGCGGGAGCCCATGAATTATACTTTTCTTGGGGTTATATAGGGTTTAGGGTTTATAAGGGTTTAGGGTTGGAGTTATATGGGGATAATGGAAAATAAAATGGAAACTACTATAGTATATTGGGGTAATAGGGATAATGGAAAAGGAAACCCTAAACCCTTAACCCCTGAACCCTGAACCCTGTTATTCGAGGACCCTATGTGGAGAATGAGGTGATGCTAGAAACTCAGTAGGATTTATTTTGAAAATCTCGCATTTTCTAGCTGTTGAGTTCCCTGTCCCCCAGAAGGCCTAGTAGCTATAGTGGGTTTATATATATACATACACACAGCACATATATACATAAATGCCCCAAAAGTTAAAGCGCTTCCTTGTCCGTTGAGTGCCCCCATCCCCCAGAGCATTCGCGCGGGTATCCTATACAACATATAATGAATTAAACGCTCCAAACCCTCAACGACAGATACAGGAATGCGTACTGCATACCCTAAAGACCTCGCCCCATGGGGTAAGGGTGCCACTAAGTAATTCTGAAACGGCATTTCCTGACAGAAGTGGCGGCCGGGGCTCAGGGCGGGAACCACGTTTTTGCAGGCCCAAAAAAATAAAGGTTTTTCACGCAAGCCAGCAAGAATAGTTCTTGCCAAGCCGCTAGGACTGGTGGCCATTCAAGGGTTCCAGGTGACTCATGTGGCTCCGTCCCATGCCTCGGGTCTGCATCATTTTCAGAGCCGACGGGTACCTTGAAATACATTGGGATGTATAAGGGTAATTTCCCAAACTAGGGTCCCATTTTGGTACCCCTCAAGATTAGGTGCCGTAATATAATGTATAAGCAAAAGGGGCCCACAATTTTGAGAACAACCAATATGGCTAGGGTTCTAGTGCTCTCAAAATGAAGGACACCAACTTAGAAGTGAGGCTGTGAGCCCATGCCATGTCACCGCATGGTGCTTAGTAACAAAGAAGCAAAAACTGGCAACTACTATATATTGTTCATTGCTTACTGTGTACGGTTGGATCCTCATGGTACTCTCCCAAAGTCGTTCCTGCATAGCGTTAGTATTAGCTGCTGGCCGGCTACTGAGCAGACCTTTCCCGAAGATACCACCATGCTCGTGAAGATTTCATAAGGATTATAGGTACTATTATGGGGGATTTGGTTAAGACAGGGCTACCAGTGCAAAGGACTGCATAGGGATTATTGTGAGTACAAGGGAGTACTAGGTCTCATTATTACAAGCGATTGCATGACTAGGTGGACCGTTGAAAGGCATCCACGTCCCCCACTACCCCTTAAGCACTAGCAAGGTGACTCCTGCAAAGGTTTGCTCCCCTGCAAAAAGATCAATAAGATGGAGATACGATTTACACTAGACATCCTACAGGACCTTAGTTTGCTAGAGTATATTTGGGGTTATATAGGGACAATGGAAGGGAAAACGGAGACTGCTAAAGTATATCAAGGTTCTGTATGTAGAGGGGAATAAAGGAAAAGATAATGAACACCACTGTAGTACCATAATTTGCGAGGCTTGGGGTACTCAGGGTCGTGCAAGGTTTCTGTATCCACCATACCATGCGAAATTACACCAAATAAAGCGTTGAAAAACAAACACCTCTGATGCATAGTCGCTCACTGTAAAGCCTACATGAAGTCTCGAGGGCCCCTCCAATCCGCCCCAAAATATGCGGAGTTTAACGAACTAGCGGGTTGCTCCCAGAAAAAGAGCAAGAGCAAAAATCAAAATTACTGAGATATCCACATGAAATTTGCCTGTTTAGGCCATGGGTTAGATGCCCAGATGCTGCTTTGCATGGAAGGCGAGGTTATGCCACTGATCCTTCGGCAGAGTTTTGGCGCTTACACTTCATATTGAAGTAAAGTGCAGCTGCTACAAACCCTCAACCCTAAACGCTAACTCCTAAACCCTCGCAAGCTTACTTGTGCGCAAACTGCTGGCTATGGCCTTCTCTAGTTGGTGCTACTTTCAAGACTGCAAATGAGCGGTTTACGTACATTATTTGGATAATATGGGGTTAATATTGGGAAATGGAAAAGAAAATGGAAACTACTATAGTATACTAAGGTCTATAGGCTGAGGGTTATAGGGGCTATATAGGGAGTATCTGGAAAAGAAAAAGGATATTACTGTAATAGGGTAAATAAAAAAAATAAATAAATATATATATATATATACACCCTAAACCCTAAACCCCTATATATACATATATATATATACATATACACTCAAAACTGAGGGTACCGCTAGGATGCTGCGGATACATAGGGAAGGTACAGAGACTAGGGGATAGTCCCCCTTAAGTATATACAATATGGCTTTGGGTAGATTATAATAAGATCCCCATATGCTGAAACTTATAACCCCCCATAAGGAAATAGAATATGGGGTATATGGGGATCTTTTTTACTATCCGCAAAGCCATATCCTATCTACTTATGGACGACTGCAACTGCTTAAGGTGTTCTTGTAGTGTGGGTTTTGCTGAGAGACTCAGAAAGCCCTTGCAGGCTCATCACGTCCTGCTCCCGCTTTTCCTTCTGCTCCATCCGACCTCTTTTTATATTTTTCGGGCTATGGCCCATTTTCGACAAGAAAGAATCCCAAAGGAGGAAGGACATCCAGCGTGCAGGTACAGCTTGGCTACGGCTCAAGGGTTCGCGGCTCAGCTTCAAGGTTACACTCTGGGGCTTCCAAAACTTAGGCACCCCTTTCCTATAAGATTAGAATATGATAAAGAGTCTGGGGTAACAGGAGCTATATAATCTAAACTCCTAGTATTCCCCTCAATAAACCCTAGTGTAGTCCCCTATAGAATCCGCTATATAATCCCCTTTAAGGAGTTTGGACTATAGCTCATGTAAGGGGGACCTCAACTTCTGGAAACTTCCATTCCTGAGAAGCCCTGATCTTGGCTGGCGGCCCATTCTCATGCAGAGGGTGGTGACCTCGTCCGCAGCAAGGGGTTCAGGCACCAAGTCCCAGTTTGCAACTGGAAAGATCTACACCTGTGTAAGGAAACCATTAGGGATGGGTTGCACGTTTTTTTTTAGAACCAAGTTCTACTTCATATAAGCCATTGTCTAAACTCGTAGTATCCCCCTGAATGACCCCTGTAGGTCCCCTATATAACCCTCCATGTAACCCCCTTTAAGGTGTTTAGACCATAGCTCATATTATGTCCAACTCCAAGGGCAGCTTCTGGAACCAAAAAAAACGCTGCTCCCTCTGAAACTTTGGAGCCCTAGGGTTTAGGGTTTAGGGTGTAGGGGCCCTAAACTACTGTAATTCCTAGGACTTTAGGGACTTAAGGTAGTGCAAGATTTCCTCCATCAGCAGTATCTTTGCTATCCATTGCTGGTTGGTGGTTGTGACTAGGCAATGAAGAAGCGCAAAAGCAAATGGAAACTACCAATAACGACCGTGCTAGATGATAATATAGAGATGATTACTATATACGGATTCATTCCTAATTCCCTACTAAGAACCAGCCCGTATCAGACCCCGCACAGACAAGAGCTCTGGCAGCAGCTTATGCTATCTGCAGGAGGAAATACAGGATTTCAAATAAAGGCTGGGGACTTGACGGGTAGGTTCTTGGCAACATAAAACCTAGCTGAGTAGCGTTTTTTTGGGTGGTTGAACCTAGTAAGATTATATTCCTTCTATAAAATACTACACCCCAAAAGGAGGATATAATCTTACTCTATATTGGGTACCATAGTATCCCCAAATAAAATACTACTCAGCTGAGCTGGGATGAGCCTGGCTAACCCCAGCTGGGATCTACGTACTTTGCCCCGCAGTCATTCATAGTGCCCATAGGGTGGTTCAAGGCCAGGGTGGGTACCTATGGGGTAGTTCTAGGGTCCGGTGACAGCACTGGAACTATGGAGAATGAAATTTAGACAATTACATGGAAACTGGTCCCATAAAGCGGTCTTTACTGCCTGTACTGTAATGTAGGGGCCTATATAAGCGATAAACCGTTCGAAAAAGGTCTGGAGTACGTTCTACTATTTTTGAAAAAAGGATTTTACGGGTTAGGGCTCCTGCATTACGCGTTTAAGGTTTCGGCTTTCGGGTAAATGTGGGGTCAATTCTTCGGACCAACGTATGTAAGTAGGAGTCCATCTGGGACGAAAACATGTATCATGCACGAGACCCAACTCACAAACCTTATAAATCTCAACCCTAAATTCAACAACTGACCTAAACAAAGCCCTAGGGGGAAGTCCAAGCGCCCCACCGACTTTTTCTCCATGGTCACCATGCCGCCGCCGGTGGGACGAGGTCGCCGGGCGGTCTTGGCAGCGCCCCCTATACACACCCAAATCCAAGTATACAAATAATACCAATAATGGAGAATCAAATGGAAAAGAAAATGGAAAATGAAATGGAAACTGTGGTTATAAAGGGGCTATATAGGGATCCAAGTATACAAATAATACCTACATAGGGCGCAGAAGTCTGGAAATATTATCTACATTGGGCTTTTGGGATCCCTAGGGTAGTAAAAGCATCTAAGACCGCTATTGTAGTGCCAGGACCTCTCAAGAGGGACCCCGCCACCCATGAAGGTCCCGTATACCCGGGGGGAGACATCGCGCTGTGAAGCTTGGATCCTCTTCTTGAGGACCCTAGACACGGGATGCTGTTGCTCGGCAGATTCTAGCAGGCTCTCATTTAACGTGCAAAAGTGCGTAATTGAAAGTATGGAAGGAGGCCGTACAAGGTCGCAGTGAGAAAGGAATCTGTACCGACTTTTTCCGACACCGCAAGGGGCTAGCATGCCAGTGGGGTACAGCAACCTGTGAAGGCCAAGCTCTTCTCACCATGCCTAGACATAGCAAATTGGATAGATTGAGCTACCTACACTAGATCTTGTAGCGAACCCTGAGCCCTAAATCTTACAGCCTCAGCCCATCCTTGTCCCAACGGAAATCCTACACCCTAAACTACCCTAAGCCCTAGACCTAGAGTTAAGCAGGAACTCAACCTCCCCTTCAACTCAAGCCGGACGTCTTTGCGTGCCCCTCACTTGAAACCACACCCAGACCCCCAAAAGAATCTAAACCCTTCAAACGGGCTTATATCGGAAATTATACGGGGGAGAAATTGAGGGCTTATCAAGGGGAATACTGGGAGTATGGAATGATCCCCAGCGTAATCGGCACCTCGCCCCATTCAGACTTCCTAAGCGGTGCAAGCTGCTCAATACTCCATCACGTTTTTTTTGTTTTTGCTTTCATGGGGCGTTCCATAAAAATAGGCGGCACGGATACGGAACCCAACATACAATTATTTTTACGATGGCGACTCCCAAAATAAGGGCCCCTGATTTTGTAAACCCCCAGGATGCAAATCCTACACAACATCAGTATTACTATAACAATTACCGTTATGGTTACTGTTATTACTATGACGATTACTATTACTACTGTTGCAGTTGCAGTGACTGTTACTGTTACTGTCATTGTTACTGTTACCGTTACTTACTGTTATTAGTACGATTACTCCTACTATTACTATGACCATTACTATTACTTTTACGTATCCCTGCGGCTCGAGATCCGGACATCCTTTTTCTGCTTGATCCGTCGTCGAACGAGCAGAGGCTCCACAACCTGATCTGAGCAACGTCCCAAGGGTTTAGGGTAAGATGAGTTTAGGGTGAACCCTACACCCTACAGTCCCAAACCCTAAGCCCAAACTAACTGGAACTTGCTGGCGCCGTTTTTAGAGGTTCCATATTTGTCTGGGGGAGGGCGGGAGCCTGAGGGCTTGAGGTTTGAGAGAAATCGGCTTACGGTTGGGAGAAAAATGTTTTTGGCATTTGGACTTTCGAGTATAGTACTTGCAAGGATTATGTGAGCACTGTGAGAGTGTTTCTGCCTTTCCAAAATCCGCAAACCCTCCTCGGGGAGCAGATTTCATGCTCATTAAATGCAAAACGGCCTGAATAACTACAAGTCTGATTTTCAGGACTATTTCAGGCACCCTACACCATACTCAAAGAAGGAATTTGGGACCATAACATTGGCAACCGATTTGGCTTCTACAATGAGAGACTGCAGGTTCTGGTCACGCAGAATCAACGCATGCGAGCCAAATTTAGGGCTGCCTTTCGGGATCTTGTTCCAAACGCATCTTCGAAAAGAGATTCAATGTCCACGCGAAAGACGACATTTCTGACAAATGGCAAACAGCAGAAAACACGTGGCTAATGCCTTTGCTGTCCTTCCGTCAAGTCATTCCAAATCCCGAATCCTTCCCCAACTCCTCCCAACTCCCACAGGCCTTCAAGCGAACCTCCGACCTTGAGTTCAGCCAGAGATCCAATCCTTGGTTCAGGGTTGTCCTTTGCGAAGTCTTAGACTTTGGTCTGGGTTGTTCGCAGCTTGCAGCAAGTTAGTTTGACGAGAACAGAAGCAACACCAAAGCGTATCCTCGCTGATGTTTTCACACTTACTCTGCGCCTAAATAGTAGTTTCCATTTTCTTTTCCATTATCCCAAAAATATTTCCAATATAGCCCCTATACAACTCCTATGTACCCCCCTCCCCCCCC